TCGGCAACGCTGTCCTATCTAGTCTACTACACATCTCGTTACGAGTGTATAATATAGACATATATATCTATATTTCAGTGGGCTGAATCAGACAAGATTTTTCGCAAGTCGAATGAAAAGATTTGGACGGTCCGAACATGAGAGTTTCTTGACATGTGTACTGTCATAGGTTTGGCTTCTACTCGTTGTTACGTTTGACTTTTCACGCATTAATCATTTTCTTTCATTTTCGACGAAGTACAAGTAGTTTCGTTTTTCATTTTGCAAAGTCATTTGTAACGGTTTGTTTGCTAACTAGATCGTTTTGGTAACAGTGGGTCCGGTGGTTTGATACAAAAACCAAACTAACAAGCTCATTGCTTGACCTTGTTTGATACGATAAACATGCGTTAGTCTGCAGGCATTCTGAGTTATCGCACGAGCCGATGAGTTACTTCCGGCATCGCTGAAACTGCGTGCGCATATGCGTACAACTTTCAGTTATTAAACAACAAACCATGCTACTAACGCGTTGCAGTATACGCTATCAGTACGTGTAATTTTCGATAAGATTTTCGGTAAATTTACCTCTTCATACTTTGGTATATTTCATCCGTGAAAATCATTAAATAATTAAAATATGATTACTATGCTAAGTCGACAGTGACCAAAAATCTAACTACTTTTAGCTTTATTTCTTCGCCAATTTGCAATGGTTTAATGATGTTTTATTTTGATGAAACGAGGGAGTACACTGTAATTATGGATAGGGTCGACGAACGTTTGCTGCTTGGAAAGTTGCGAAAGGTCGAGCAGGGAAATCGGCAAGGTCCTCCGGACTCGGACTCGACCACTATTTGCAGCCCTGAATATTATACACTCCTAATCTCGCCAACCTAGCAGCCGGTGACGACACGCGCGTCCGCACTTGCCCTATGATGGGTGCGCCCCACTGTTCACTGGGACTCGCCGAGCAGTGAGCGCCTGGTGTATCTTTCTTCAGGCTGGCGTCTTCGGGTCTGCCTCGAGGATCTGCTTCAGTCGACTTTCTCCGCGGCGGCCTTGAAAGTCGGGATTGTGTCGGTTCAGTCTCATTGTTTCTCCAGTTCGTCGGCCATCGTCGTCGGATCCGCCTGCAACGGTGGGGCGCAAGGGTCGAGCCGTGCTTGCAAGAGTAACATCGTTATACGCACAGAGTTCACGCGTATTGATGTAACATTGTATACACACAGAAGTACGTGTATTGCATTTGTAACCATTGTTATTTACACAGAGTTGAAGTGTATTGCATTAACATTGTGTAATACACAGCAGCATTACGGTGTATTGCATTATAAACACTGTTATACACAGAGTTACGCGTATGCATGTTAACACTGTTACACACAGAGTTACGTGTATTGCCATGCTAACATGTTATTTCACACAAGCAGTTACATGTATCTGCCATTATAAACATTGTTATACACAGACTTACGTGTATTGCATGTAACATTGTTGATACACAGGAGTTACGTGTATTGGCATGCGTAACATTGTATATACACAGAGTTACCGTGGATTGAATGTAACATGTTACCACACAGAGGTTACGTGTATTGATGTAAACATTGTATTACATCAGTTACGCTGTATTGTATTTAGCACTGTTTACACACAGACGTCTACAGTGGTATTGCATGCTGAACATATGTTAGACACAGAGTTACAGTACATATCAAATGCCCGCAAGTTAATCACATAAGAAACCCCGACTTGTATTAACAATGTTACACACAGAGTATACATGTATTGCCAATGTAACACTGTTTATACACAGAGTTACACTGTATTGCATGTAACTTGTCACACACAGAGTTACATTGTATTTTGCACTGTTAACATTGTTACACACAGAGTTACATGTAATTGCCATGTAACATTGATTACACACAGAGTTACGTGATATTGGAATGTCAACATTCGTTACCACAGCAGAGTGACGTGTATTCAATGTAACATTGTTACACACAGAGTTAACTGTTGATATTGTATGTAACACTGTTACACAAGAGTTACGTAGTATTGCATGCTACATTGTTACACACAGACGGTTAGTGTATTTGCATTGATAACATTGGTTACACAGAGTTACGTGTTTATTGGCATGTACCATTGTTACACACAGAGTTACCATGTATGATGTACATGCGGTTTACACACAGAGTTACGGTCATTTCATGTAACATTGTTATATCACAGAGTTGTGATATTAGAAATGTAACATTGATTTACACACAGGAAGCTTACATGTATTGCATGAACACTGTTGACACACAGAGTTTACGTGTATTGCATGTACACATTTGTTACAACAGAGTTACATGTATTAGCACTATAACATTGTTACACACAGAGTTACATGTATTGCATGTAACATTGTTACAACAGAGTTACGTGGTATTGCATGTAACAAATGTTACAACCAGAGTTAACATGTATTGCCATGTAAACATTGTTACACACAGAGTTACGTGTATTGTATTGCATGTAACATTGTTACACCACTCAGACGTTAAATGTATTGCATGTAACACTCGTTATACACAGAGTTACATGTAATTGCATGTAAATTGCTTACACACAGAGTTACATGTATTGCAATGCTGAACATCTGTTAACACAGAGTTACATGTATTGCATGTACATTGTTACACAAGAGTTACATGTGTTGCAGTGTAACATGTTTACACAGAGTTACCATGTTACTTGCATGACCATTTGTTATACACAGAGTTCCATGGTATTGCCATGGTAAACATTGTTACAGCACAGGAGCTTAATGTATTGGCAATGCAACCATTGTATACACACAGAGCTTTACATGTACTTGCATGCTAACATTGTTACACACAGAGTTACATGCTATTGCATGCAACATTGTTACACACAGAGTTTACATGTAGTTGCATGTACATTCGTTACACACAGAGTTATCATGTATTGATGTACACATTGTTACACAGAAGAGTATAGCATGTATTGCCATGTAACATTGGTTACACACAAGAAGTTCATGTATTGCATGTAAAATTGTTACACAACAGAGTTACATGTTAATTGCAGTGTAACATTGTTACAACACAGAGATTACAATGTACTGCAATTTGATAACAATAATGTTAACAGAGAATATAAATAGTAATATGAAATGTAACCCCCCCCAAATTGTTTTACACAAGGAGTTAATGTTTGCATGTAAATTGTTACACAAGGAGTGTACATGATATTGCAAAAGATAAACATTTATACACAAGAGAGTTACATGTATTGCATTAGTAAAACACGGTCCAGCACATCTGAAAGAGTCGTGGACTCGGTCGCGAGTGATCGGCTCGAGAGCTCGATCGGTCGACGGCAAGGTACAGTCGGGCAGCCGTGCTCGAGTCATCCTGTAACATGTAAATGTATTGCATGTACTATGTACCTTGCATGGTACTATGTCATTGCATGTAAGCATCTATTGCAGTGATTTACTACTGTCTGCCACTGTAACTATGTATTGCATGTACTATGTATTGCCATGTAACTATGTGACTGCCATGTACATGATGTAATAGCACATGTGACATGTTACGCATAATATTACTATGTACTGCATGAAAACATGTATAACATAGAACACGTATTCACACGTAACACATAACATGTGCCGCACGGCAACATGCAATGGTCAGCACGGCGACGCATGAACTGTGTACGCACTCTCGCTCGCGTACGCGCGTGACAGAGGCATAGTAGGCGTCGACAATTTTCGCGACCGAAACCGCCGCTCGAGCAAAAAAACAGCTACCCTCACTCACCACGAAGCAGGTTAGTTCTTTCCGCCGCGCCGCCGCCGCCGTGCCAGCTGCTGTACTTCCGGAAACTCGGCAGTTCTGCGTCTCTCCTCAAAACACGCGAGGCGACTCTTGCCGAAAAACTTGGAGGTGTTGGATTCGAAGAACCAGCGGGGAGTAATCCTGATGCGGCACCGCCGCGGAAAGCACAAGCTGGGTGCACGAAAAGGGGGAAAAGTAAATGGGGCGTCTCGGCGGCGGTTGGCTACACCCAGCTTTCTGCAGAGCCGGCGAGAGAGATCAATATTAGAGCTGTCGCTGGCAGCAGCAGGCTGAACGAATTCCGGCCGCGCGTGCGCGCGGTGCTGGTGGCTTCTTCTGAAATCGCGGATGCCTGCTGCTGCTGTTTGCTTTGTTGCTTGCTGCTGCTGATGATGGCTGAGTGATTCATCGTCAGGAATGATTCACTCGCTTGTCACTTTCTCTACTCTCTCTATCTCTCTGACTGTCTGTCTGTTCTGGTGTCTGTCTGTCTCTCTCTCTCCTCTCCTCTCTCTGGCTCTCTCTCTCTTCTCTCATCTCGCTCTCTCTCTCTGTGTCTACTCTCTCTCTCTTCTTCTCTCTCTCTCTCTCTCTCTCTCTCTCTCTCTCTTCTCTCGCTCTCATCTCGCTTCTACTGTCTCTCGCTCTCTCTCTGATCTCTCTCTCTCTCTCTCTTTCTCGCTCTCTCTGTGTGTCTCGCTCTCTTCTCTTCTCTGTCTCTCTCTCATCGCTCTCTCTCGTCGCCTCTCTCGACTCTCTCTAGGATCTCGCATCTTCCCCTCTCTTTCTTCCCCCTCTTCTTTTTTTATTGCCATCGGTGCGTATGGAGGAACTGTCGGAAACGGGAATTAGCCTTGTTACGTTTCTGTGATTTAGCGTTTACGGGGGTTATAGCTTGCTATGCAAAACTTCTAGCTGCATGAGAGTCTATGTCCGCAGGTACCTTGCCGCGCATGTCCCTGGAGTAACTATCTAAGCTGACTACATGTCTAGGGTAGGGTTAGGGTTTTAAGAGTTAGGGCTAGGGTTCAGGGAGTAGGTAGGAATGCAATACACGTAACTCTGTGTGTAACAATGTTACATGCAATACATGTAACTCTGTGTGTAACAATGTTACATGCAATACACGTAACTCTGTGTATAACAATGTTACTCTTGCAGACGGCTCGACCTTCGACCCCACCGCGGCGGATCCGACGACGATGGCCGACGAACTGGAGAACAATGAACTGAACGACAACAATCCCGACTTCAAGCCGCCGGCGGAGAAGTCGATGAGAGAGATCCTCGAGGCAGACGCCGAAGACGAGAGCCTGAAGAAATACAAGGCGCTCCTGCTCGGCGAGTCCGTGAACAGTGGGGGCGCCACCGTCATAGGCAAGTGCGAACGCGCGTTCGTCACCGGCTGGCTAGGTGTGGCGAGATTAGGAGTGTATAATATCAGGGGCTGAAAATAGGGCGAGTCCGAGGTCCGGGACCGTTTCCTTGGACGATTTCCAAGCAGAACGTCCGTCGGACCTATCAATAATTTACAGTACTCCTCTTTCATCAAATAAAACATCATTAAACCATTGCAAATTGCGAAGAAATAAAGCTAAAGTAGTTAGATTTTTGGTCACTGTCGACAGCAAGTATCATATTTAATATTCACGATGAAATATACAAGAGGTAAATTTACCGAAAATCTTATCGAAATTACACGTACTGATAGCGTATACTGCACCGTTAGTAGCATGGTTGGTTGGTTATAACTGAAGTTTACGCAGATGCGCACGCAGTTTCAGCATGCCGGAAGTAACTCATCGCTCGTGCGAGTAACTCAGAATGCCTGCAGACAACGCATGTATCGTATCAAACAAGGGCAAGCATGAGCTTGTTTAAGTTTGGTTTTGTATCAAACAACGGACCCACTGTTACCAAACGATCTAGTTAGCCAAACAAACGTTACAAATGACTTGCAAAATGAAAACGAAACTACTTGTACTTCGTCGAAAAATGAGAAATGATTATGTGAAAAGTCAAACTACAACGAGTAGAAGCAAACTATGACAGTACACATGTCAGAAACCTCATGTTCGGACCGTCCAAATCTTTCATCGGACCTTCGAAAAATCTTGGGCTGATTCAGCCCCTGAATATAGATATATAATGTCTATATTATAACGCACTGCGTACGAGATGTTGTAGTAGACTAGTAGGACAGGCGTTTGGCGATCTCATTGCTGTCTTCTGCTGGGGCGAGCATGCAGAGGCAGGCTGGGCAGGGCACGATATCTCATGCCGCTGCTCTTCCGCCGCCATTTTCACTTTCCCCGGTGGTTAATGAAGCATTCGCGTGCAGCTCATGTAGTAGAAGTGAACGTTTGGCCGCCCTTCTCCGCGCGCTGGTGTTAACCGGCTTCGTTAACTTCTCCTGTTTCGCCCTGGTGTTAATGGCTTCGTTGTTTTTGTTTTCGATCGTGGCGAGCAGAGCGACAGCGATCCGGGCGGGAGTCATTCGAAGAGCTTGGTGCTGAGAGTTTTGGCCGGGTAAGGAAAGACGTCGAGCTCGAGTCTCAAGGTATGAGTAGCGTCAGCCTCCGGCCTCTTCGCTCTCCGCTTGGATATGGACGTATGGGGATGTCAGTAGTCTTTGGTTGTTAGTGTCGGTATTTTTTACCCTATTGCTTAAGTCAATTCGTGGTCGCTTGGCTGTATGAGCGGAAGAGTAGCTGCCTTGGGAGACTCCCTTTTTCTCGGCCGGCTCTCTTTTTTGCCCGCTCTGCTCCTTCTCCCTACCTCCCCCACCTGTATGGTAAATGTATAGAACGATGTCGAGCTAGATCTCAGGTATGAGTACGCTACCCCTCGCCGCCCTCTCCCCTGCACCCCTCCTCCGCCTTGCTCGCCCCTTTCGCCCTCTGCTTGTTGGCCCGGCTTTTCCTCCCTTCTGCCTCAGCCTCCCGTCACCTGTATGGTAAGTATGGAACGGACTTCCGAGCTAGATCTCGCAAGCAGGTATGAGTATGTCAGCCGCGCTTCGGTCTCGCGCGTCCCCCTCTCCCCCTCGTTCCGCCCTCTCGTCTCTGCCCCTTCTCCTCTCTGGCCGCCTGTGCTTTCCTCTGCTTCTCCCGGCTTCTCCTCACCTGCGCGCGCCACGCTGTATGGTAAAGTATGGAGGGACTTTGAGCTAGATTCACAGGTATGAGTAAGTCACCGCCCTCCGGCCTGCTCGCTGCTCTCGGCTTGCGGCCTCTCCCCTGCTCCCCTTCCCCCTCCCCTTTCTTCCCCTCGCCTCTCTTTCATCCCCTGTCCGCCCTTGCTCGCCCTGCTCTTTCCCTTCTGCCCCTTGCGGCCCGCTGCTCATGCTCCTCTCCCCTTGCTCCTCTCCTCAGCCCGCTATCAAGTAGAGCCGGCATAATGGCGTGACGGTTGGACGGCGTGTCGATCGTTGCGGATTTGTCCGTTGGATGTCGCGAGCACACGCGTCTGGCATAAACGCCAGAAAACGCGAATTCCGGAAGCGTTCGCGTGGCGTAAACGGAGAGAGAGGAGAGAGAGAGAGGAGAGTGTGAGAGCGAGAGAGAGAGGAGAGAGAGAAAGAGGAGAGAGAGGAGAGAGAGAAGAGAGAGAGAGGAGAGGCAGAGAGAGAGAGTGTGTGAGAGTAGAGAGAGAGAGAGAGAGCAAGAGAGGAAACAGACGACGAGAACGGCGACGACGACGACGAACACGCCGCATGTTCTGCGCTTTCAGGGCGGCCGCGGCCGCGGCCGCGGTGTCATGCTGACGTCATCACGCTGGGTCAGCAGCGGGGTCACGCTGATGACGTCATCACGCTGGACGCTCTCCCGCTGGACGTGCTCCTCATCGTCTGCTCCTGCTACCTCGACGCCGCCGCGCGCCGCAACCTCCGCGTCGTCTGCCACGCGTTCCGCCGCCTCGTCGACGAACCGAGCGTGTGGCGCCGCCGCGCCATCGCCCTCCACGACCTCGCAGCGCTCCCCGTCCTCGCCCGCCGAGACGCACGCCACCTGGTGGCCGACAGGTGCGCCTGCTGCGGCCGCAGCGCGTGGCGGGAGATCGGGCGGCGGCTGCCGAACCTCCGCAGCGCGCTCGTAGGGAATGCCCCGCTCGGGGCCGTCGTCGCCGCCGCCCCGTACCTCACAGCGCTGTTCGCCAGGCGGCCCGTGTACGTTGAGGAGGAGCTGGCGCGGCTGGGTGAGAGACTCGAGGTGCTCGCGCTGCGCGGCATCGTCACGGCGACGGAGGTCGCGACCTTCGCCGCGTTCTCGCGGCTCCACGACCTGCGTCTGCACGTGTACCCCCGCTTGCTCCCCACCGTCGCCATCGTTGCCGACCTTCTCTACGCGCTGCCTGCGCTGCGCGACCTCACGATCCTCACCACGGGAGACCCAGGCCGCTGTGCGTTCCATGAGGGCGGCGCCGGCGCCCTCTTCGTGCCGTCGTCGCACGCGGCGGCGCGGTGGACGCCGTGCGGGACGTCGTGTCCGCGGGACGTCGCCGCGTCGCCGCACCTGCACTTGGAGCGCGTGACGCTGGGCGGGTGTGCGCCGCCGGTCGGGTTCGCCGCGCGTCTGCCGCGCATGCGCCGCGTCGCGATGTTTGGCAGAGGCATCTTGATGATCGGCATCGTGGCCGGCGCTCGCTGCTACGCCATGCGTCGCCGCGGCAACGGCGACATGCAGATGGTCGAATACTCCGGCGCGGAATTCGAATATTCCGCAATTGACGCCAATAACGACACCGTGCGTCTCGACAACAACTACGCCAGCAGGCGCATTGTCGCTGCCATCCCGCGTGCCAAGCTCGAGGAACAATTGCACAGGTATAGTTTGACGACGGGACTGTATAGCAGGGAGGTCAGCAGCAAGTACTATTGCTTCATGTGGTTCTGCGTGGAGCCGCGGGCTGGTGACGGGAGCCCGTGCGATGACTGCGTGAGAGGATGTGCGGAGTGGCGCGAGGATAATGAGGAGGAATACCTGAGCTTCGTGCGCGGGGGCGCGGGGGATCCGCAGAGCTGCGCATAGGTCGCCATTCATAGACCTGTCGTGTGACAGTTTCGACTGCCAGTGCTATATTTTTCGTGTCTTGTATAACGTCTTGTAGACTTTTTGAGTTTATTTGCGTATGGATTTTTGTGTAATTAATGACGGTTAGTGCTTGATCTATGACATGCTAGGTTTGTGTTTGGGATACTTTTATAGATGCTATGTGTTGTTGCAGTTTTTCGACGTCATCGTCTGTTGCGGTGCCAAATAAAAATTTACTAAGCTTGCCAATCCTGGAAAAAAATCGACCGAGTTCTACGTGTCTGGTGTAGTGCGTGTAAATCATGCATCTTTTGTTCGAAAGCATTCATTCGATTGGTAAACCACCCTAATTGTACCTGAACCATTCTATAAACGCTATCTGCTATCTTGACTGAAGCCTGTTTTGACTGTATATCTGCATAGTTTTCGATATTGCTTTGATCTGGAAATGGGAGTCTGTCGTGTAAATTTAGACGTCCTTTACCCTGATCTATGTTGCCCCCATTAGTTTTATCTCTTGCAACACCAGTAATTGTCTTCTTAACGTGTCCATATAGTCATTCATTGCCGACAGATTTAGCGATAGTGCTAATGCAGCGTTCACACAGTGCCGATTATGGCTCCCGTTTGAGATCAGACAGCGCTACGACACGAAAAGTGAAAAAATCGGATTACTATCCTCAATGATCTGGAATGTCCTATCATTGTCTGAACGCAGTTGTATACGTTCGTAACAGAGTCCTACGGATCGGGAATGGTCCGGAGAGGTCGGCCAAGCACTCCCGACAGTTAGGTGCGTCCCGTAACATTCGGGAAACTCAGCCGATTTTGTCTAGTCGGATTACAATCGTGACTATGTCGTGACAGATTCTGCTGTATCGGATTAAAATCCTAACAATGTCCTGTGTTGTCTGGACGGTGTTTGGACGGTGTCCTGTGGATCGGGACGCTGTCGTGATGAACGAGCATGATCTGGAGAAATTTTTCATTGCCGTTTCTTGCCGATTGAGTCCAGATTGCGTCCAGATCTAACGGATGTCTTCCGTCAGCGTCGGTTCACTGTCGGGTCACTGTCTGATCTCTGTCGGATCGCATTTGGGAGAATCGGGACGCTGTCGGGACAGATTTGGTAGTTTTTTACCATGAGAAAGATACAAATCGGTTCAGAATCGGATTGAGAACTGGAGAATCGGGACGAATTCGGCTGGAAACGGCTGAATCGGGACGCTTCCTGAACAATATCTGATTGTTGTCGTGATTAAATAAATGTTTTTACAAATTTTTAATAAAGTTTGAATTTCCCGCCACGAATCACAGGATCTTGATCAGACTTTTGACAGATTTTAATCGGGCATGGTCCTATCAAGAACGGCAGTAAAAATTCTGAATGTGTGACTGGGCCTTAATGCCCATGTAGACTGTGTGATCGCTATTTGACTTCTCTGCACAAATAAGACCCCCGCTTCTTGTTGGCGTATCTCGTTCTCTGCTGCCCCCGTTGTAAGTAGTGGGAGCGCAAGTATCAGCCAAGTGTGGGGCTCCATTCTGGAAACAACAGGAACACGACTTTATAGGAAAGCTTGTGTGTTCTACGTAATAGGCACGTGTGATCGTATAGTGTGTCCAGGTTCGTGTACAACAGATACGTGTGCAAATAGCACTTAAGCCACAGACAGTATAATTAATGCTATAACCACCGAATTACTACGGTTACTCTATTATTTAATAAACAGCATCAACATAATAAACACATACATTACATAGATGGCTGCGCAAGCCAACCAGTAAATACGATACAATACATACAATACATATCTTATACACCAGGCACATACCAACAAGCGACTGTTTTACAAATGCAGAGTACATATTTACGAGCGTGGAGTTATGCAGGTAGCAGGCAGGTCCTGGCGGGTACTCAGTCAGTGATGTCCAGCAGCGACGGTAGCATGGTGTTCCCCAGCAGGTGAGATCAGCGGAACCTGTGGGCTGACAGCGTCGGGAGCTATCAGGCACCGTGGAACCGTGTCTGTCTTCTTGTCGAAACTGTTCGGTATATATACAACTGGAGGAATGCATGCTTGTTGACGATGGTGGTGCAAGACGTGTCGTCATCTTCAACATTTTATGGGTGACTGAAAGTGAGAAGATGTGGATGCTTCTTGAGTCTGGTGTGGGAATCGCGACAGGTCGATTCATGTTCTTCATATTTCCCATAGTTCACATTTGTCGGCGGCGTTTGTTTGATCTTCATCAGTCGGCATGTGACATCAAGCTGTGACGTCCTTCTATAGGTACTAAAATGTCATAGTGTCGCCTTGTGTAGGTGATTACTTTATCTCTCCTTTGTTGTGTCACACGCGCAACACGTGTGCGCCACACGACCGGCGTGTGCGACCCGTGTCGCTTGCTGCGCTCGGCTCATGTTACCTTGACTGTTACTAAAATAACCTATGACGTGATCTGCTTACGTTTAATGACCCGTATCGCTGGGTTTTTATACTAGGTTAAATAATTCGATATCTACGTTACAACTTATTTATAGCGACCTCTTTTCTAGTCCACACGTAGGTGCTACATTATAGGCCAACAAGCTCCGCTAACGGTCGTAAGTCGTCCTCGTCCCATTCATCGTCGGACGGAGTCGTATTTAAACGATCATCTTCGTGCGTCTGAGGTGTTTGTCTCGGTACCCCTTATTGTTCTGTGCATCTCTGTCACCTTGTGTTTTTGTCCATGCGTTCGCAGGATATGCTATTTTTAAGTTATCTACGTGGACCTTGTGTGTGGATGTCTCATCCTGTCTTTTTATTTTAACTACGAGTGGTGTCACCTGTTTCAAGATAGTTTAAAACGGGCGCCACGCAGAGTGTAGCTTGGCGGTTTCATTTGGGCGTAATACTGGGCTGTACCTATACACTGAATTCCCAATCATAAATCCCTGCTCCTTTGCTCGTTTATCGTATAATTGTTTGTTTTGTTCTCTCGTTAATCGTGTATTTCTGTCCATGCATGGTATAGTCTATGTATTGCCTGTGAGATTGGGTCATCTGCATACTGGATCCTGCGAGGGTGTAATAACATGTCCAACGGTAATCTCGCTTCTCTCCCATGCATTAGAAAGTAGGGTGTGTACCCCGTTGTTCTGTGTATAGACGTGCGATACGCAAATAGCAACCCCCCCAACTCTGTGTCCCATGATGAATTGTATTTTAGTACGTACCACGAAACCATATTTCCCAGAGTTCGATGGAAACGTTCCACTACACCATTTGAAGCCGGGTGATAGGTTGCCGTAGTCACGTGCTTTAGGCCTAACTCTTTGCTTAGTGCAGTCATTAATGAGTTGCAGAATTCTTTGTCGTTATCTGTTAAAAATAGTTCTGGGCAGCCATGACGTGGAATAAATTTGTTAATTATGACTCCTGTAACGGTTGGTGCCGATTTATTGGCTATTGCGTAAGCTTCAGGCCACGCTGAAAACAAATCAATGAAAGAGGAAATACCGATTACCAGCCTGTGTGACGGGTAATGGCCTCATTATGTCTATTGCAATGACTTGATTCACATGAGTTGTTTGTGGCGCGTGCTGCATCGGCACGCGAATCCTTTGCATTTTACGAGCTGAACACGTAACGCATGACTTGACATATTCATACACGTCGGAAAACATACGAGGCCAGTGATATCTTTGTTGAATTATAGAAAGTGTCTTTGAAAACCCTAAGTGCCCTGAATAAACGTGATCGTGAAGCAGTGGCATGACCTTAGCAACTAGACTGCGTGGAACTTCTAATTGCGCGCCGCATTCAAGCTTATCCGTGCTGACATGAAACACTAAACCCTCTTCTAGAAAATAATCGCTAACCAACCGCGCATTTTGTAGAGAGCACATGTTCTTAGTCAATGCTTCCCTGACCCATGAAATAAATGTGTATTTTTTCTGCATGTCCCTAAACATCGCTATTGTAAGGTCAGCTGGTAGTTTTATAGCTGCCGTCTGTACTGTTTTCTGCGCTAATGGCGTTGCCTGAATGTGAGCGACGCTAGCGTGTTGTGACTGCATTGTTTGTGTGGAGGCATCGCGCGAAAGTGAAAGTTGGCCCTCGGGCAATAACCTAGATAACGCGTCTGCCTGCTTGTTTGTGCTGCCTCGCTTGTACCTCAATGTCAGCTGGAACTGTGATAGCATTAATGCCCAGCGTTGTAGCTTCGCATTTCGCAACGATTTGGCTTCTAGTAGAAATTTGAGAGAGTGATGATCGCTTATTACTAGACACTTACCTCCTTCTAGAAAATTTCTTAGCTTCTGTACAGCATACACTAACGCGAAACATTCTTTCTCGACTATCGGCCAGCGTGTCTCCGTTTCTGTACACTGCTTACTAATGTACATAATGGACCTTTCCCGATTCTGTTCGTTTTTCTGTGTTACTGCCCCCAACGCATACCCCGAGGCATCGCAATGCAGTGTATAAGGGCGACTTGGGTCGGCTAGCGCCAGAATAGGTGGGTTGACTAGAAATTTCTTAGGTGTTCTAAAAACCTGGTCAGTTTCCTCTGTCCACACAAAGGGTGTTCCCTTGTGGGTAAGTTGTCGTGAGTCTTTGCTACAACAGTCTTGCGACTGTCGTGCGATAACTATCTTGTCGTGGGTACCAGAAATTTTTTTAGTCAAACAATCTTACGACTATCGCACGACTGTCCTACAACTGTCTCACGGCTGTCGCAGGACAGTCGTGAGACAGTTGCAAGATTGTCTCACGAATATTATATTTCGTAAGAGGCTCGC